TCCGACTGGCCTTTCGACACCCAAGACAGGAAACGCTGTGATAAGATAAAACCTGTTATCGGAATCGAGTATTCGCTTTTTACTCACATCCTTTTGATGGATTGGGACACAGCCAATGCTTTGGTTTTGATTCTTACATTATCTTTTTGTTTGTGTTATCGTCATCCTCCTCATCATCATCGCCAACGATTCTCATTGAAGTCATCATCATAATCCTCATCATTATCATCATCACCATATCACTATCCCCATCCTCATCCTCATCATCACCATATCACTATCACCATCCTCATCCTCATCATCATTATCATCATTACTATTGAATTTTTCTTATTTTGAATAGACGATTAGATGAGATTCCCCGAGACCTTGAAATACTGGCTTGAAATCCAGCGGGGAATAGTCTGCTCTCCTAGTGCTGGGTAGCAGTGGCACTAGTACCTTCAAGGAAGGTGCCAGGCAAGTCAGCGATCCTGATCTTTGGCTGGCACGCTGCGGATAGAGCAGTTCTGGGGGCCTGCTCTAGCTATCTGCCTCCGAGTACAACTAGGGGTATGAGGCAATCTGAGAACAGAGATGGATGGAGTACCATAAAAGAAAAGAGTTGAGAGTAGATGAAGAGAGATTTTAAGAGCAAAAATATGTTGCAAGCAAGGATGATATAACCAGGTAGCTCCACTTCCATTTAGCCTGTTGACCCCGAAAATAAAATTGATTTTTTTTTTTTTTTTTTGCCGAAGCATTCTGACGGCTGGTAATGGGAAGGAACTGATTGTTATCATAAATAAAAAAAAACTAAATTTGGTGTTACTTCTGGTAAATTATAAAACTAATTTTGCATTTAGCCATATCTGATATCTCCCAGTGCACTCTCATTGGCTAAACATGACGTCACTGGCCTCTGCCCCTTTTTGAAATTGGTTCAGTAATAACAATGATAGAAAAATAATCGAAAACGAAACCAAGGGAAAAAAAAACTAACATCTGCAACGAGTAAGGAAAAAGAGGCGGGGCTTAGGTCGGAGGTTGCCAACTAGTAATTTCATCAGGATGGCGTGGGGATATAAGTTACAGCAGAGGGTTGAATCATCTGAATATTCTAGAGTTTATTTCCTGGTTCTTTTTGTATTGTAAAGAAAATTTATGTGTGGGTTGTCCATGGCCCAGTGACTAGTTAATTTGGTGATCTGTATAGATTGCAAGTAGCTTCAAATATATTTAAGTTAACCCATTCGCGATGGGTAAAAATGAACAAAAAATGGGGAAAATGCTGTGTTCATTTTTTATACTTTTTGTGAAATGTCTCTACACATAGATGGCTCTGCCTTACCTGACTTCATTTGGCGGGAAAATGTATTTTTCACTAGTGCTATGAATATGAATATCGATGGTTATTTTTATTATAAACATTATAATTACTATAATGTTATTAACAGCAAAATAAGATAACGTAAAATATTTTCGTAAATTAAAGAAAAGAGTAAACGGGCGAGACAGGCAGTACAAGTACAAGTTTAGCCATCTTTGTGTTAAAACAATTAAACAAGTAAAATCACAGTGGGCATATCACGAATACGTGACACCCGGCGCGAATGAGTTAAGGAGTAGACGTTTCAGGTAGACTCTATGGTATATGGTAGTAGATAAGAATTGATTTGGGATTCGAAATGGTAAATAACTAGACAGATTACATGACTCGATTTCCAAAGATCTAAGCAGCGATTGACTAGATTTTAGTGTCAAGCTATTGGAGAGTTAGCAGATTAAGAGTAACTCATCAACAATAGATCTATATCAAAGAGTAAATGTTTAAGGCTATGAGGCTTATATTCAAGGTTCTGAGGGTAAATCGTGAGCATAAACTGGGTTGGCGAGGGTGGATTTGGGTAGATTTAAAGCCGATTAGAAGGTTTATGCAAAAGGTTAATGACATATGGTGTAAATTTATGGCTAGGTTATCTGCCTCTCTGTATAGTAGATGCTGATGCAGATTAAGGTAATATTGTGGTAGATGGCTAGATTTCTGGGGCTATACTAAGGGTTGAAAATTTTGGTTGTTCAAAAGTAGATGGGAGTAGATTAAAGACGATATTACGGTTAAAATATATTGGTTTCTGAATCAGGCAAATGAGAGTTGGGACAAAAATAGCTTTTGATGATCCACACTGTACCGAGAGTAAGATTAGAGAAGCATTCATACTGGCTGGGGTTTATCAATCGCCGGTGGATGAAAAACAGTGGAGTCACTGTTTCACTTTTTTCTGCATTGTTATGAAGGTAAGATCGGTGTCACCAGATGTCAACGAGTGGTCTTAGTGCAGGTGAATGAAGGCGGTCTTGGCGTGTGGGTTTATTGCAGAAAGCAAATGCGAGACCCCAAAGAGACTCCATCCCCGGGGTCGAGTGGTGAAGAGCTAAACCCCGTGCGTCGTCTGTTTGCCGTCTCTCTCTCTCTCTCTCTCTCTCTCTCTCTCTCTCTCTCTCTCTCTCTCTCTCTCTCTCTCTCTCTCTCTCTCTCTCTCTCTCTCTCTCTCTCTCTCTCTCTCTCTCTCTGTCCCTGTCTGACGAGACGTCTCCATTTATGCGGCGGCTCCCTTCGGTGCTTGCTTCCGCCCACTGGAGCGTCAGGTCAATTCGGTCTTGGCAAAGGGCGATGGGTTCGCAGGGCTCGCTCGAGGGGCAGATGTCGGTCACCCTGAGGGCATGGACCACGAGTCGACTAGGCTCGGGAGTGGGAGGCGTACGAAGCAGCTGCTTCCTGTGAAGTTGTAGACTCGGAAGAACTCCGACAGGGAAGGCAGCCTTCGCTTCAGCAAGGGAAAGATACTGTTTACAGTTGCTTTACCATTAATGGGATACTCACTGACCCGAGAATGTAGGAGCATTATGGTTTTGCTAACAGTTTGTGCCTTCTGATAGACTTCTTTCGAAACTGTTTTTTTTCTACTTTCATTTTTTTTCTTTCCCTCTCCTTCATTTCAAGATAGGGCTCTCGTGGAGGCGTTTCTTTTTAGCTGCCGCTTCTGCCAGTATTGTCATTATTGATATTACTTTCAACTTTCTGTTTATTTACTCTTATTGTTCGTCTCTCCTATCCTAATCATTATTGTCATCTAAATAAAAAAGACTCGTATTTTTAATGACAGAATCAAAGTAGCATCAAATGTTAATGTAAATTATATCACCTTTTTATATCAGTAGCACTTAATCATGGCAGTCTTATCTTATCTCCGATCACCAACACACGTCGGTATAAACACCACAATCACCCTTACATATTACACCTGCTTGTCACTAAATATATGGTGATAAGCTGACAAAACTGATAATCACAAACATTCTCATTCGATGATTATTTTCTCCCCAATCCTTTTTTTAACAAGATCTGATCTCCCTTTACGGCTATTCCAGAGGATCTCGAGGAGCCGTAAGTGTTCATAAGGGTTTGAACGCCGTTACTGTTGCAATAGATACCAAAACTGCGCTGTAAAACCTGACGAAAGAGGGTTGGAATCGCCGAGAAGAGAAACCGAAGAGCAGTTTTGGCTCTGACTTCCCTCTGAACACTGGCTGCAGGGAAGGTGGGAAGAATGGAAGAGGAGAAAGAGCGAAAAGAAGAAAGACAGAGGATACTTCAACTGCGTAGTTAAAAGACATGAATAAAATGTTAAGAGATAGATAGATAGATAGATAGACAGATAGAGATAGATAGAATGAGTGAGAGAGAGAGAGAGAGAGAGAGAGAGAGAGAGAGAGAGAGAGAGAGAGAGAGAGAGAGAGAGAGAGAGAGAGAGAGAGAGAGAGAGAGAGAGAGAGAGAGAGAGAGAGATGATTGTATGTATATATATATATATATGTATATGTGTGTATATTTATATATATATATATATATATATATATATATGTATATATATATATATATATATATATATATATATATATATATATATATATATATATATATATATATATATATGTATATGTGTGTGTGTGTGTATATATATATATATATATATATATATATATATATATATATATATATATATATATATATATATATATATATATATATATATATATATACACACTGTAAAAGACATAAATGCCTCCGATACATTGGTTATGACTGGCTGGGTAGTGATAGTGGTTATAACGGCTTGACTCTTTATGGAAGAAGAGTACGACACGTTGAAGGGAACACACGAGCCGAGTCTTGCGTTAGCGCTGAGCGTGGGGCCGCGTGGTCCAGTCCTCCAGCCCTGAGGAGGCCAGAGGCTAGACCTGGTCACGCTTTTTGCTGAGGCACGACTCAGGGGTCAAACAAGGTCAGGCAAACTCGTCATCTAAGCCCTCGCTGAGTCGATGGTTCTCTACTGGACCTCGAGCCACATGGCATGTACACGGTACACACACACACACACATTTATATATATATACGTGAAAGGAGGAGGGAAAAGAGTGAGAGAGAGAGGGAGAAAGAAGGATATCATGAAGGCTTTAAGGATACAGTTATGTTGCAGAATCATTAGGATGGTCTACAGTAACAGTTCTCAATAAATAATAACATTCTGCGAGTCGCTGGTACATGGAAATATACTTGTACTGTGGTAGAAAAATCCACATTGCAAAAAACTAGATTTATTAAAAACGAGTCTCTGTTTTAATCAATCTAGTTTGTCCATCAACACGGGAGAGTATTTTACCATTCATACTTGTATTGCATATCTATCAGGTTTCAATACTGTGACCATATGAGCACTCGACCTCCCACAAAAAGGGCAAAGTGAGGCTAGGTCATCGCGGAGAAGCTACCTGGAGCGAGGCTAGTCACAGGACGCCGACGGATACCTGACACCTTCGAGTCGGCCTTCAGAACGGCTCTGCAACTGACGGCGTGTGCTCGGCGCCCTCCGGCAGCGATCGTTCGAAAAGTAATCAGAAAGCAGCAGAGATCGACGTTGCCAGCAGTCCGGTAACCCCTCCCATACCCTGACCCCCTG